GACCATCACTGAACATAAGAGACAAGCTAGAGAATACGTGCAACTTAGTAAACAGTATCATAATCAGCACTCTAAGTTTAAAAAAACCTAAATGCCCTTTGAATGAATCTATGGACACCTGTTTTAAGATTCAAAAAAAAGTGTAATAATTCATAACTTCAAGCTAAATCTATTGCTTTTTCTCATTTTGTTTGTAAATGAAAAAACAAAAACAAAAAACACTATCCTTATTCCCCACGTCAAGGATCTGTAAAGTACTGCATTAGAATTATAATAACCATCGGAAAAACTTACTGTGGCTTCAAACTTACTACCATTGTAAGGGTAAAACTATGCCAAAGCCAAAGCCTTCCAGTAACTAAATGCTCTTGGAAAGTGTCCAAAACAATGTTATAGTAAATTTCCTACTTGTTTCATCTAAGATCAAGAAAAACAAGTTAACTAAAGACTGGATTATGTTTAAATAGACTATAACTAAAAGTTATACCTCAAATAATCAGTCAGAAAAATTTTTACTCTGTACTTATGATGGGCCCTATAACCAGTACAGGTCAGGTGGGGAGACAGCTGCACCTAGGAATCTAAGACACATATTAATTAATATTATTTTCAGAAAAATTTCAATACCAATAGCTTCCATTTTGAGAGAAATAGATTTTGGCAGAATCTTTTAAAATAATGGCTTATCATTAATGATACTGAAAATCTCCATAGCTTCTATAATGTGGGCAGCATATGGTGGTAGTTACTCTGGTTTCTAGTTTGAGCCACTGTTTAGTGTCCTGTTTTTCGTGGTTCAGATTCCTTTTTTACAGGTTGCATGCCTCATAGATATATACCAATTTCATATATAAACAAACGTAAAGATGCTTTATGTGAGTGCATATGTAAATGTAGCTATAGGACACTCTAGACAAGCTGTGATTCCCACTAACAATGTTTTTTTTTATATAAATTAAAGTTCTACTGAATTGAGAAGCAAAAGCCAAGAGTTAAGAGAAAAATCTGGCCAAAAAGCAAAGGGAGCTACAAAATTAATTCTGGAAGCCAAAACCACCTAAATAAGGCAGGTTTTCAAAACAAACCCAGCATATTTTCACTGAGCACTTTCTAGTTTACCTATAAACATTCGCATTTTTTAAAAGCTGAGTGGTACACCAACTTTCATTTATGAAAAACGACATCCTAGGATAAATTTCTAATTTCCAAGAAAAATAACTCAAGTTTAAAGATCTGCATACAAAAATAACAGAAGCAAGAGCTGCAAAGAAATGAACCCAAAAAGCAAACGTGGTTTTACAGGAAACATGGAAGCTGTCTGCAACATTTTAAAGTGGGATGGACTTAATATAACATACACAAGACCCCAAAAGAACAACTTTAGCATAAATATCCCAATGTGTTCAACAACTACTGAAAGAAGCAATCTCATTCCAATAGATACTTGCCACAAAAATTGCCACACACTGGTTACTTCTATTTTTTTTAATGCTAAAACAATGAGAGATTTGTTGCAATATATTTTAAAATTTACCAATACTGAGCTATTAAATTTCTATTAGTGATGCTTCAACTAAGGATTTGTGCTAAGAGCGAAATCTGTTCATACAGCAATGAAAATGAAGCCTCACTAAAGACATTCAACATAAAGATGACCCCTAAAGGCTCCTTGATGCACATTTGTAACCACAGTATTTGTGATATGCAGTACACTAAACTAGCAACAGATTGGTTAAAAACAGTTTGGATTCTCAACTTCCCATAATACAGGCGACATTTTTAGAAGCAATCATATTAAAATAAATGTGTCTTTCACAGTTACGGGATGAAATTTTAAGCTGGACAGGCACCAATGCCCTGATTTTCTACTCTTTTCATAAACCATATGACTTCCACATGCTGACAATGTTTTATGCTTTAACCTGCAGTAAAGGCTTTACATCATTTTAATGCTCAGTGCTTAAAATGCAACAGAACCGCCCCCGCCAAATGCAAGGAATATGTTTGGTTTACCTACAGTGATTTCAACCAGACTACTAGTCAGAAAAAGTTTAATGAAAGGTTTTCCCAGTAAGTAACTTTACACTTCCATGGAAGAAAACAAACAAAAAGAAAATCTGAGGTAAGGGTAGGTGGAAAAGAAAATAATGTTTTATTTGTCCAACTCTTAGACATTTTAGTTTTTTATTTCTAAAGTATTAAACATTTAAAAACTCTACATCTAACAAAATATCTTCCAGAAAAAATATACTCTATTATGTAGTTACATGGGATTTTCCTCCAGTTTTAGCAAAGTAATGTTTCAGATTAAGATAGAAGGTGGATATCCTAGTCTAAAACAAAGCAAAGGTTCGGCTTTGTATCAACATATTTTATATTCTAAATTTGAGACTTAGAAGATACATCAATTTTTTTTTTATTCAGGTCAATCTAAATATACATACTACCTCACGTTTACAGTCAGCTCATCTGTGTGAATGATCAACTGCAGAAATTTCAAATCAAAGGTCATAAAATATACCATAAAACTGCATACTGTGTCTACGTGACTTTCAGTTTTTATGGAATCTAAGGTCCTTTACTGATAGGTTTGAGAATTGATAAGTTTGGAGCCAAATATGTAAATACATTAAGTCTCAACAGTCAAAAGAACAATTATGCCAATTCCTTTAGTTATTTAAAGGTCCATTACACAAAGAAACTGTCACAGAGGAGTGCTATTGAAAAACTTCTATTTCAGACTGAAGAAACTACAAAATATATGGTCTTAAATTCTCCTGGTGTAATGTTATTAAATATTAAAGACTGTGAGAAAAAAGAGATGTTGCAACCCTCTTGCCTTTGTAACTCTACTTGAAACTTGAGAAATCAGAATTCAAATTTTCCAAATTTGACTTATAAACGTAATTCAACTAGATCTAACAACTTAGTTGTGCAATTTTAAAATTAGTTTAATGCAAAGTACTTCAATCCTGATGTGACAATTACCTGTGGCATAAATGCAAAGTAAAAACAAATGCAAGTCCTTCTCATCTAATGATGCGTTTTATAGTAAAATCACAAAAAGCACAACTATATTAGCACAAACTAAATAAACAGGCACAGGAGGCATCATGTCCATCTGGGAAGAGAAATGTAGCATGCCAAGAAAGAAAGGAAGGACTGTAGGAAGAAGGGAAGGTTAGGAAGGGAGGAAGGGAGGGAGGGAAGAGAGGTTTCTACACCTGCAGGATCCCAGAGAAATGAACTAGTCACATCACTCTACCCTATTAGATACAAAAGGGTTTTTAAAGCTTCAGGGTAAAAAACAGCAATCCCTTAACACCATTCAACTTTATACAGTATAGTATCTTTAATGTCAACTGCCTTCCATCCTTCACTCACCCAATGCTTCCCCACTCTTCCATACCAGCTTTCAGACAAATCCGAGACAGAATAGGGTGGGGTAGAAGAAAAATACAAGCAGCGCCTATCAACTACTCCCCCCGCCACCAAATAATTTCCAACAGTTTTTCCTACTACGAAAATAAGTCTCCCGATCTCAAGATAGACAACAGTCATCCTGTGTCTTCAGTAGACATACAGAGACGCATACCCATGTCAGCACTCCAGACCCCCACCGTACGCCCCCGAATCTGAAGTAATGTTTAATGCATTTAACACGAAGATGATGAGATACATCTACCTACTGTTTTGGGGTGAGGGTGGGTGGAGGACTCCTTTCAAAGTAGCCCCAATAGTGTAACCAAAACACGGTTCCGGAATAAAATATTAAGAACACTTTTCCTTTCCCACCTATCTATGGACTTAAGGATGCAAAAATCCATCTCCACACCACCTCATCTCTAAAATTCTTCAGCCCGGAGTTTGGGGTGGAGATTTGTCCAGGGGAGGGGGCGGAGGCAGGGAGGAGAAGTGTGAGCCGGCAATGGGACACAAACGAGTTGCTAACCCCAGCTACCCCGCACCACGTCGCCAGCCCAAAGGTCCAGGACGCGGACCTCACGCACGCTTCTCTGCCCAGGCCCAGATAAAAGCTATGACTCCAGCTATCTAACTTCCTATCTATAGACATTTATTCAAGACTAACATATCACACAAGTACACGTCACACAGTTTAAAACACAGTTATAAACCCCAAACAAACCCACACATCGCAAATTCACCTCGCAGTTTCCCAAACTCCAAACAGGAGACCCCACCTCCAGGATTCAAACCTTCCGCCCACAGTGGAGGAAACCAGGAGAAAAGAGTTGGGGAGCAGCCGACGCCTTTCAATTACCGCCCCCCACAAACTGCCCCACCCCACACCCTGCGTCCGGGTTACCCACTCGGAAGCCCCCTGCTTCCTCCCTCCTCTCTATCGGGCCGCTTAAGAGACCCATCCCCAGCCCACTAACTTACTCCCCAAAGCCCCTCAAAAAAAAAAAAAGTGAAGAGAAAGAAGTAAGGAAAGAGACTTGAGGTAGTCCGGCTTCAAAACCACTCGACTCACCTCAGAATCCTTGCTGAGTTCTCTCCGCCCGGCACAGCCCCCTCCCCAACGTCCCAGTACGAAGGGCTGAGGCAGGGAGGAGGGGAAAGCGGGAGGGGGAGGGGTGTCTTCCGCGTGGGGCGCCAGTCGGGAGGGGACTGGGGAGGGGTTGAGGCCGGCGCAGGAAGAGGAGAAGGGGGAGGGGAGGCCCCTATCTCCCAGTCTCCCCCTGAAAACCTCCCTTGTCTCTATCACATCAGACTGACTGTCTTTGTCTGGCTGACAACCGCCATATTGATATCAACAGCCCCGCTCCCACCTGCTGCAGCCGGGCGGCCCTGGGAGTTGTAGTTCTTGCCTCCCTTGAGTAAAAGCTCGGGACTTAGCATCCAGAGGCCCCAGGGAACTACAGCTCCCGGCAAGTCCCGCGCCCATCCGCCTTCCCACAGGGAGGAGGGGTAAGGGGCGCCGGAGCCATGGGGACTACACATCCCAGAATACCATGTGTCCCAGGTCCAGAGAGGGCACATGATATCATGCTGGAGTGCAGAGGGAGGATGAATTGGCGGCGGGGATGAATTTAAGCTGGCCGAAGGAGGCGTTGGAGAGGAAAGGGCCGGAAAAGAAAGATGACCACAGTTCCCATGATGCACGGAGAGTTGACTACATTTCCCATGATGCCTCGAGGAGGGGGCGTAGAGAAGAAGGACTGCATGTCCCGCGATGCTCTCGGCGGGCCGGTGGCGGTGATTGAACCGGAAGAGGCTTTCTGCGTTTGAGGAGTGGAGTGTCTGGTACTGAACAACCAAAAGTCCAATATGAAACTGGTGAGTCTCTGCTCCTAGGTCAGAAAGCAAAGGTGATGCCATATCCTTTTGGACTTCTTCGTTTGCACCTTGGGAAGGGAAGTAGAAAGTGGGTGGACCAAGGAAAGCTGCTGTTGTTGAGGAGATTTGAGTTTTATCCCCCCACTCTCCACGCCCAGCTGCCTAGAGATCTTATGTATCCGTTGACGGGTCCCTTTGGTTAGATAAGACGTTGACTCTCGCATTTCTTCTACGAACTAAGGTTGGGCTTTATGAGCTAGGTTTGACTTCTCAGCTGCCACGTGAGTGTTGAAATAGGTTAACTTCTTTCCATGCTCTTGGCACTTAATTAGCGTTTCTCCCTACCGTTGTTGAGGCGGCTTTTGTTAGATCTGAGCAGAGAGTAGAAAATATTGGGCAGAGGGTAAACACTTATTAAATTTTGTATCATATACTCCTAACTGCCCTAGGACTTTAGAGAAGGACGAAGTCAGGGTGTGATTTTGGAGGATTTGAGTCTTAAACTACATAAAGTGGGCTGAGAGGAACTGTTAAGGCATTCCACCCTAGGGACTGCATAAGCCAGTGTATCTGGAGAAGTCTTTGCATCACAAAACCCAAACACTTTGCTTATTGAAAAGCTTCTCAGACCTTTATTTTGGGCCATTTTACTTACTGTGCATAGATCTAACTAGTTTATTCTACCTCTATAGAATTAATAATAGCATTAAATAGGAGGTGTGAGATGCTGTTTCTCAACCTTTTAAAATTAATGTTCCTGCAGCCAAGTATGTCAGGCTTTACTTTCAGTGATTTTTATACAAAGACGAAAGGTTTGTTTTCTTCTTTGAACATACTTTTTCAAAGAGTGCGCGTGCACACACACACACACACACACACTACAGGTATATACTCTGCAAAGTGTCCGCTGTTTTCTGAAAAGAAGTCAGAGAAAGTATTAAAGTAGATTGAACTCCAAAACTGCTGCCATTTAAAGCTGCGCTTAAGTAGGGAGAAGGGCACAGATTAGTAAACCTTGACTGTCGATTTGCTCCTGGGTCTGAATGTGAAACATTTAAGAAGGCAGAATTGAAAGTCACTGCCTTGCCCTATAGAAGCATGCAATTTAATGAAGATAGAAAAGAAAGCCAAAATTTTAATTCTTTGCAATTCATGGTAAAATAAAATGTTCAGGGTTTAGGGAATTGAGAGGATAATGGGGTGGGGGAGAGGTGGAAGATAGCTTCCTAGAAAGAACTCGAACTGATAAGAAAGAGGAGTAGGCCAGGGCCTTCCATGAAGAGGGTTCAGGTTTTAGGTGCAAAAGAGTTTGCACCTAAATGATTGGAGCACAGACCATGTGTCCCCAGTAAATGTTAAATCATATTTGGTGTGCTTGGTGAGAAGGCATGCAAGTGTGAAACAATTTTTTCCATAAAAATACATTTGGCTGAGAGCCAAGATTTACTTTACACGTACTTTGGTTTGCTCATAACATTCCTTCTGCTTAATATATTTACAGATGTGGAAGCATGGAAGGGAAAAGAGTAGAAACTTGTTTTTTTCCTTTAAGAACCAAAATATGCCTCCTAGGAAGAAGAAGTGTTCTATCTATAGTGCCTCCCTCTTTACTTTCAATCCATGTGTTACATATTAAAACTCATTTGGTAGTTGTTAGATGATCTTGCAGGATCTATGCAGAATTACCATCAACATAGCAAAGTGGTTTCAAAAACACTGATGCTCACTTAGACATCTTTTGTGTGTCATGCCTCATAAAGTTGAAATAAATCGTCCCATGGCCTGAGGTTTTTAACTTTGTGTACTGCTTCAGGAATATGTAGTAACAAACCATGCTTTACATTTATATCATGAAACACAGAAATACATTTTATTGAGCACATTCTTGTTTTTGAGATTATGACTTCCCAGAATACCCTCCCCATGCACAATCTATGACCACATTTTGTTGATTAATTCTACCTCTGTTCTTGAACAAGTCTCTTTCTCTCCAGTCCCACTAATACTGCTTTTGTACTGCTTTTCACTTGATACTTGGAATTCAACAATACTTTCTAAATGATCTCCCTGAGTTCAATCTTGACCCCATCCAGTCTACTCTGCATCTCAGAAGTTGTTTTAAATTGCAGAGTTCCATAAAACCCCTCAGTAGCTTCCTTTGCCCTTAGGATAAAGTCTTAAAATTCTTAACTTGGCTTACTTGGTCCTGCAAAATATGGCCCTGCCTACCTTTCCAGGCTCATACCTAGCCTTCATCTCCCTTGCTGTCCTGGTTCCAATTATATTGTACATCTTCCAGTTCCTTCAGCTCACTATGCTTTTGCCTCTGGGACTTTAAGTGTGTTGCTTTCCCTACAGTGCTTTTTTGCCTGCCTTATTTTTTCTTATATCTTAGGTCTCTGTTTAGTACTTCTTCAAGGTTTCCTTGAATTGGTTACCCCCGTTATATGCTTTCATGGCACATTTTCTATTTGTAGCACTGGTAATTACTGGTTTTATGTCTGTCCTCCCTCATATATTCCCAGGGCCTGACACATAGTATGATGCCACTGAATAGTTGTTGAATAATTTCTGAAGGATTATCAAGGCCTATGACTATTGATAAGAAAAGATTAAGAAATATATTTAAAACATTACAATAAGCAATATCCATTGGAGTAAAAAAAATAATAATTGCTACCTTTTGTGGAGCAATTATTGTGTGCCAGGCACTGTGCTAAGTACCGTGTAGTGTCCCACTTACTCCTTTGATCTAGGTGATAGTATTCTCATTTTACAGATAAAAAGTCTGAGCCTCAGGAAAATGAGGTGGCTCACAGTTACACAAATGAAAAGTAGTAGAACCAAGATCTGAATCCAAGATTCCTTCCTTAAGACTCTTGGTTAATGAGGGCCGGGATTCCAGCACCTTGCAAAGTACCTGGCATATGTTATCTCTTAATAAAAGGAAGCCAGAGTGCATACTGGGAGAGTTATTCAAGGCTGTTTTTAAAATTAGCTTTAGAGGCGCCTGGGTGGCTCAGTTGGTTAAGCGACTGCCTTCGGCTCAGGTCATGATCCTGGAGTCCCAGGATCGAGTCCCACATTGGGCTCCCTGTTCAGCAGGGAGTCTGCTTCTCTCTCTGACCCTCTTCCCTTTCGTGCTCTCTATCTCTCATTCTCTCTCTCTCAAATAAATAAATAAAATCTTTTTAAAAAATTAAATAAATAAATAAATAAAATTAGCTTTAAATGTGAGTTTGATTAAATTAAGATCTTTAAAAAAGATTATTGGTAAAAAACATTAAAGTTTGGAAACTTCCTTGATAATATAAAGGGCTCCATATCAGACCATACCAACTGAGTTGAGTGCCAAGTTGGTTTTTATACTACCCAATTTAACCTCTGTAATGCCATTTATAGTTCTCTACACATCACTCTCTTGGCAGCTTTTCACACACCCAAGGGAAGACATGGATGTCATTATAAAATATTCCTTGGATATCTCCTTAGAAAGATACCAACTCCAAATGATTTTAATTACTGTCTATAATATTATGCAGTATTCAGGCAGCTTTATTAACTGAAAAAAGTTGATTGGCACCTTCAGTTAACCAGAATCATTTTTAAAGAGCAGGAAAATTAGAAGATTAGAAGAAAATTAGCATATTTTAGAGCCTGTTCTGTTATTAGTATAAATTGAGCCTACCTGGGTATACCTAGATGGCCAGCTCAGGAAAGGATAGAAACTAGAATTCATCAGGATCGTTACCAAAACATCATGGAACAGGGGCGCCTGGGTGGCTCAGTCGTTAAGCGTCTGCCTTTAGCTCAGGTCATGATCCCAGGGTCCTGGGATTGAGCCCCACATCCGGCTCCCTGCTCAGCAGGAAGCCTGCTTCTCCCTCTCCCACTTCCGCCTGCTTGTGTTCCCTCTCTCGCTGTGTCTCTCTCTGTCGAATAAACAAATAAAATCTTTAAAAAAAAAAAATCGTGGAACAAAAAAATACTGAATACATTGACATATTGAATTTGAAACATCTAGGAATTTAGTCATTCAAATAGATGAAGATTAAAGAAGATAGTAAGAAGCAGTTCAGGAGTGCAGCATGTGTCATACTTTCTATGGATCCAGAGATGGAGAGAATCTTTTTATTAAGTCAACAAAGATTTATTATGCAACCACAGTATACCCTTGGCATTCAAAGTTTTAATACTTTCCATTTTAACTCTTATATTTGACCCCAAAGGTTGATGACAGGAAATTATTTATGATTTTGCTGAGGCACAAATTTGAATATGACTTTAAGATTAGTGATAAGCTGGGCACCTGGGTAGCTCAGTTGGTTAAGTGTCTGCCTTCAGCTCAGGTCATGATCCTGGGGTCCTGGGATCAAGCCAGGAGTGAGGCTCCCTGCTCAGCGGGGAATCTGCTTCTCCCTCTCCCCCTCCCCCCGATCTTGCTCTCTCTCAAATAAATAAAATCTTTTAAAAAAAAATTAGTGATAATCCTTAGTGAACGAACCTGATTGCTTCAGAATCCATGGCTCTCTGTAGTTACTGTTGCTCTTTTGTTAAAAGTTCTGAGAGAAAGGTCATTTAAATGCTTGTTATGCTATACTTTTTGAATTTGATGGAGGAAATTACTTGCTGTAGTTGTATTTACAAATTTTAAAACTCAGGAAGGCCGGGAGATGTTCTTCAGTGATCTATGCTCCTTTATACAAAGTGCTGTTTTCATTACTACTGGCTTTCTTGGGGAAGGCTCAAACTTTTAACTCACCATTTCTCCTAGGAAAACAGATGGAGCAAAGAAAGGGATTCATGGACTGCTCCCAGTGGAGGACAAATAAAACACCAAGTGGAACTGTAGATGATCTAGAAGATCTTTGGTTGAAAGGGGCAAATTCTGCTCCAAGGTCAATTTAACAAATCATTAGAAAGGGGTGTGGTTATTCCTCACCTCTGATCTGAGAGTGATAGATTATTTCTCTCATTAACAGAATTACAGAATGCTTTTG